TCTTGGCCATACCATATAGTGAACAGATTTATTTTGTATATTTCAAACTGTTTTTTGGAAGAAATTCGCTTGGTGTCAGCACTGATCGCAATTTGTAAATCTTTTACGTCGTCTACCATCGCAAGAGTTTTATCTATAGGCGTCAAGTTTGTCGACTCTGTTGCGTCACATAGATCAATCTTCTGGTTGTGAAAGGCGTCAGATATAAATTCTTTAATAGGTGACCATTCTGTGGGAATGGACAAAATGAATTTGTCCACCTTACAGGTACTATCAAGTAGCGTTTATGGTAATTATTGTTTTTTATAATGTTATCTTAAATTAGAAAAGTATTTTTCTGAATGTGAGATTTGTTTGCACATAGTAAAAAAGGTTTCTGGGGAAAACCACTTTTATAATTTCTACGCACCATTTTTGGGAAATCAATCTTTGTGATTGGTGATTGCTTATAAAAAAATTATCATAACGTCTTAGATCAACAATAATTGAACAAAATATTTAACAAAACCATTAAAAAATATATACAGCGTGTCCCACTAGTGCGGGAAAGTCCAATATCTATGTTAAAATGAGGAATATATGGATTTTTTTGTTTACTGTGTTGCCACATTTCTCAGAATGTACAAATTAAAAATATATTCAACTATACAGGGTGTTCCACTTTTCCTGGACAGACACCAACTTTGGTTTTTTAAATGGAAACACACATTTTTTATATTTTTTTCGGATTCTACATCAAATAAAGGGTACTTTGTGTAGAATAGTTTTATTCAAATATTCACAGTTTTTGAGATATCTCGCTTGAAAGGTTTTTCTAGTCGATATTGGTTGCTTACATTTTCTGATACTGACAGGTTATACTAATAGCTACTAAGCCCATTTGTATAATGATACATAAAAAATGTATATAAAAATTAACGTGTTTTCTTGTCTCTCTGAAAACCTGTTTATTTTTGTTTACGCTCAATATTGCTGACATTTGTGACAGTGTCTATGTCATTCGTTGGTTAAAATGATTGTAACTTTTTCTTGATGTTCATTTTATTATTATTGACGATGTTTATTACTACATATATACTATGTATTAACTTTTTTCTACGAATAAGTAAGAAAGATAATACATACGAGGAAAGGAGGAAAGGTACACATACAACACTCGTACATACAAAAGAAAGTTCAAACCGAAAGAATTCGATGGGCTGAACACGATCCTGTGGTCAAAATGCATGACTTGCCGATGAGTTTCGGAGAAACGTGAGATTTTTGTGTGAAATTGCCCAAATATGAGTTAAAACTGATTTTTTCCTAAATTTTGTCCAAATGTCATTTTCGTAGTATTTTGTCCAAATGACGTCGTATTCAGCGCCCCAAAATACTACTAAAATTGTATACTTGGACAAAATTTTGGAAAAAATCAGTTTTGACACATATTCGGGCGTTTTCATTAAAAAATTTCTTCGGGAGGGCATGAAGTTTGACTACATGATGGTGCATGTTCAGCGTATCGAATTTCTTCGGAAATGATATGTAGGTTTGGACTTTTTGTCTGTGCAATTGGTCTTGACTGAAAATATTTTGTATCAAATAAATATACCTTTTATCTACCTCTGAACTTTGGGTACCTAGTAATAGTACAAGGATGTCATGACTATAAAAATATCTAGATAAATACCCAATCTAAGGATCAAGAATTTATTTGCTTTGGTGTATTAAATTATTTCATATCTGATAAATGGCATTTTATTATATGAATATTTCTTAAAGTGATAATATTGGTCTAAGTAACCGTACTAAAATAAATCCATAAACAAAACCATTTATGGCTATCATTTTTCAATTTTATCTGTGTTATTTTCCGTCTTTGTTAGAGGTATTCAAAATAATATTCAGAAATCTTAATAAAATTAAACATTTTAATTACAAAGCCATGATGATGTTTATCTTAAAAGAATAATCCAGTACCTATTGTTTCTTTCGATAAAAGATTATTTTTAGAATTACATAATATGAGTGTAAGATTGCCAAATACTTTTGAACATCTTTATTTATTTATTTAAAAACTTTGTGTAAGTTTGCAATTAAAGTAATAAAATGCTGCAGGTGCATCACATATTTGTCGATTTTAGCCAAAGCTCCAAGTTGATTGTGGAAATTAAGGGAACTCATGCATTTATGAACGTTTTTCAATAAGTTTAATTTCAATTTCAATTCAGTATAGATTTTTTATATGGATCCTAATCACGAGGATGTTTTTTTTGGTTATTTTAAACCAAAATGCATTTATAAATCGAGGTTTTAAAGCTGCTAGTTTTCAAGACCAGGGTAATTTTATCACATTTAGGTATTCATTAAATTTCATAAAAAGATAAGATATTTAACGCACTATTGAAAATATACCACATAAATTCTTGTCGAAATTTGGATATCGAGATTTCATTGAATCTGGCTACACAAACGGTGACCAAAAATGAAGGCTCGTATTCTTTGGTGACTTTTAAGAGGAGTCTTTCCTATAAAGTTTTTATCTAGGACGCTTCCTTAAAAAGATACAGGGTGCTAAACTTAAAAAATATTTTTAATTTTTTTACATAATTTAAAAACTAGTAAGTGAAATAATTTGAAATTAGGCATATGTATTTATGTCCAAAATCTGAGGCCTTTTCTAAAATTTAGATGTTCCAGTGGCTGAGATACAGGGTATCGGTGGCATATTTTTCTAAATAAATTAGCACGCCACTGCTTTACGGTAACAATCATGATATTTTCAGATTCGTCTTTCAATTTTTTACAAATTATTACTCTCTTATGTTTATCGAAAAAAGACTGATTTTAGAGTAAAAATTAAAAAACGAACTGAAAACAGCGCACCTCAACCCACTGGATTTCTTTTTGTGGGGTGCTGTTAAAGGGCTGGTATACAGTGAACAAATAATAATAATAATAATAATAATAATAATAATGCTTCTCATCATTTTCAAGTAACAATAAATTTCGAACAAATTACATTTTCGTTACTAAAAAGATGTCGCGCCTGTGCTCGTGGAAAAGGAGGTATTTTTGAGCATTTACTCAAATAAAATCATTAAAATGATGACTAGCGTTATTAATTTCTTTATTCGGTTAAATAACCGAATGATTAGTGTTTGTCATGTCTAAATAAAAGTGTTTTCAGTTCGTTTTTTAAGTTTTACTCGAAAATCAGGCCTTTTTCGAAAAACATAAGAGAGTAGTAATTTGTAGAAAATTGAAAGACAAATCCGAAAATATCATGATTGTTACCGTAAAACAGTGGCGTAATATTTTATTTAGAAAATTATGCCAGCGACACCCTCTGGACTATCTAAATTTTAAAAAAGGCCTCAGATTTTGGACAATGTACATATGTAAATACATGTGCACAATTTCAAATTATTTCACTTACTAAGTAGTTTTTAAATTACCTATGTAAAGAAATAAAAAATATTTTTTTAAGTTTAACATCCTGTATCTTTTTAACGAAGCGTCCTAGATAAAAATTTTATACGAAAGACTCCTCCTAAAATTCACCAAAGAATACGAGATTTCATTTTTTGTCACTGTTTGTGAATCACTCTGTATAATATCTTCGATTGCATTCCAAAATAAATTAAAACATTATGCATGGGATCATTATTTGCAGTTATTATTGTCTCACTTTAAACTTCTGTCATACTTATTGGAAAATCGTATGTTATCAACATTTCCCTGGAAAATAACACAGACACTCACAAAAAAAGTTGTCTGTACTTTTCATGCGACATATGTTATCGCGTAGTATTTTTGTCTCCTGATCACGAATCCAGTGTCAGAATTGCTATCACATCACGAAAAAGCGCTAGGAAAATACAAAAATAAATTTTATTCTGTATTCAAATGTTCATTTATATGCTTAAGACACTGCCGAACGTGAATCCGAGGTCAGAATTGATGGTTCTTTTTCTAACCTCAAAAAAAAAAACGGGTCAATTAAGGTCAAATATCACGAATTTTCAAAAAATGACAGATTCGCGCCAAATTCGTTAGAAGGGGGTTTTCGGAGTCGCTGATCACGAATTCGAGGTCAATTTTTTAAAATTCAAGATGGCGGATCCAAGATTGCCGACCAAATTTTCGAATAAATATCACATTTGCGTTAAATTTTTTATAGAGGGTTTTCGGGGTCAGTGATCACGAATACAAGATCGGATTTACAAAATTCGTTTTTAAAAATTTAATCAATTACCTTATTACCTGAGATTAGGTAGAAAACCCGCAAATAGATCTTTTACAGAAAAAAGAACAAGATAGAACAAGAACTCAGGTTATAAAGTAAGTAAACAAATATATTATAAAATTAATTTCGCAATTCTGACCTCAAATTCGTAATCAGCTACTGCGAAAATCCCCGTATACCAAATTTGGCGCGAATCTATTATTTTTTGAAAATTTGGTCAGCCATCTTGTATCCGCCATCTTGAATTTTGCAAAATTGGACTCGGATCCGTGATCAGCGACCCCGAAAACCCCCGGACACCAAATTTAACGCGAATCAGTTATTTTTTGAAAATTCGTGATATCTGACCAGTTTTTTTGAGATTAGAAAAATAACCATCAATTTTGACCGCGGATTCACGTTCGGCGGGGTCTTAACCATATAAATGAACATTTGAATATAGAGAAAATTTTTTTTTGTATTTTTCCTAGCACTTTTTCGTGAATGTTTGCTATTTTTGATCTGTTTTTTGAGGTTAGGAAATTCCTGTGATGTGATAGCTCAATTCTGACACCGGATTCGTGATCAGGAGGCAAAAATACTACGAATAACATATGTCGCATGAAAAGTACAGACAACTTTTTTTTGTGTAGCTGTGCCTTAATTTAACTGTTATTATATCTTTTATTGTGTCGAGAGTGCAATGTTTTCCTACTCAGTTCAATACTCTCGGTACAAAAAAAGTTCCTTTTATTTTTTTTACATACAATTAATTAATTTATATTTACAGAAACAATGGTTGATATCTCTGTTCGTCATGGTCATCATACTGATGGTGATGACAGTGGTGGAAATGCTAATATAGCGAAAGCGACAGCAATGGTATGCCTTTTTGCCGGGTCCTTTATTATTGGCAATATACCGATTAAATTGAGCAGGATGTTCAACTGGAAAGGTGACGCTAGGAGTAACAAACACGTAAAATTTCTTCTCGGTTTGGGAGGAGGGGTTCTGATGTGTACCACATTTATTCATCTCCTACCAGAAGTATCGGAGAGTTTTGAAGATTTCGACATCGACATTGACGTTGAAATACCTTTTGCGGAACTGTTGATGTGCATCGGATTCTTTGTTATGTATTTGGTCGAGGAGAGTGTGCATTTGTATCTACACCGAAAGGAGAAAATGTACGCGTTTAGAGAAATAAGGAAAAGTCTTTCGATTAGACGCGGCGAACTTGACGATGTCAACGAAATAGTTGACTCCCTTGAATCTCCGAAATCTCTTGTGCAGACCCACGATCACAACCCTCATTTACACCACGTAGATCACAGTCACGTACACCACAGCCATGCAGTCCACGACTTCTCAGAACATGGGACGGTGAAAACGATTAGAGGACTTTTAATTGTTTTAGCGCTCTCGGTTCACGAACTGTTCGAAGGGCTAGCAGTGGGACTGGAGTCTGGAGCTGCCACCGTGTGGTACATGTTTGGAGCCGTTAGTGCTCATAAGTTTGTTATAGCCTTCTGTATAGGAGTTGAATTAGTAACTTCATTGAAAACGAAGTTGGTAGTAATTTATGTATTTACTTTTGCTGTAGTTAGTCCTCTAGGAATAGGAATAGGTATGATTGTAACAAATATGGAACATGATTCGACCGCCGTTGCGTCAGTCATATTACAAGGGTTGGCTACTGGAACCCTTCTATATGTTGTATTTTTCGAAATTTTGCAAGGCGACAAGAAAAGTGGTCTCATACAGTATTCTTCTGTTTTTATAGGTTTTGCAATTATGTTCACAATCACCACAGTATTGTCGGTATAGTCTGTAATTTCCAAAATTTTAATTTTAACAATAAATACCTGTTTTACTTTATAAACCAGAAAAAAATGAAACTAGCACAGATAAAATCTTTATATATTGTAAAAGGTACGGCAATTACTTTAGGAAAATGTAAAACATATACGCTAGAGTTAACCCATTCATTTTATTGAAGACTTATTTACACATAGTAATTTTTATGATTATTTCATTTCTGAGTTTGACGTATCTATGTTAAATTATAAACGTACGAAATCTGTATTACGAAATGTATTATCGCTAATAAATTTATACAACTGCATAAAACAAAGGTATTCATTATTTTTTATGATAAAAGTACTTAACGGATTAGAAGATATATAGAAACTAAGCACCAGTGATTTAATAATATTTTACGTAATTTAATTTGGTGATGTATTATTTAAAGTATTTAAAACCTATATAAGTAAAATTTATTTACTGAAACATTAGGAGGCGCGTAATAAATTCGATAATAAACTTAACAGACAGAGCAAGTGTTTTATTCTTTTCTATATGTATATGTATTAGTGATGTAACGAATGCCAGTTTTTAAGCATTCACGAATGCGAATGCGAACATCTGTTGTTGACATTCGTATTCGTATTC